CCCCCAAAACCCCAAAACCCCAAAACCCCATTCATGGTTACCAAAGTTGAAGAAAGTATAAGAGAATCTAAGTTAAATGTATTCCATTACCCAACTGAGAGTTTCATACAACATGTTAAATCTATTTTTACTCAACTTCTCAGATCTCCTTCCTCCTTGGGCTAGTGACTCCAGTGAAGTCTGGAGGGGTCAGCCTCTTGGTCTGTTTTACTGGAAGAAAGTACCATAGGAACATTTTCTCAACTCCAAATATTTCTTGCAGATTCTCCTTCAAACCTTCATGCTTAAAAGGATTATTAAACTGATACTTCTGAAAATCAATCATTGTGGTATTATTCACGATCAGGAATATCGTCTGACAGCTTAAATATAAACACAAAATGCCTGAAAGAAGAGAAAGGATAGGGAGGATAATCCTTGGAAAGATCCAATAGCTAATGTTATGGTAATTCCCTGGTGTTACCACCTCTCTAAGAGTTACAACACCTATCATTAGTTTGTCGATGGATGTATAGATCAGAAATAGAGCGAACTGTTTGATATTCCCAAAGCCTATTCATTTGCCGAGATAATATCAATGATGGTCCATTCTGTACACACAGTGCTTTCAGAAGCTACAATGATGAGCCCTTGGAGGTTTTCCTGTGTTACAAGAAGATCAGAAGTTGTAACTGACAATAGCATGATAGTTCCTTGCCAATTTTTGTGAATCAATATGAGAACATCTCACTCATTCGATATTATCCTCGGAATCTTCTTTAATAGAGAACTCATGTTGATCTTTAGCGGTTTCAAGATCAGATCATCTTGAAGAGTCATTAGTCTCTTTATTTAGCTCTTTCTGAGGGGTTGAAGATCCTTCTTCTTGACCTCCTGAAATTTGCGAGAGTTCCTTGTCATCAAAGACTATAAGACTCATTTCAATTACACTTACCTTCAGAATCCTGTTCTAAGTCAATATATTTCTTATCTTCCTTCAAATGAGTGGCCTAGGGTCATAAGAAAGGTAATACCTTAGCTTGTGATGCTTTCTGGTCCCTGTCTGGGTGCTGATACCCCTCTGGGACAACTCCAGGGGATGTAAAATACGCACTGATCATTCCCCACTTTGACAAACCTGTCGTTACAAGTCACAGAATTAGATCTATATTATTGAGCTGTAAGCTTACATATATTTGAAATCCCAGTAACTCCGTTCTTCCACCAATATACTAGGTTAATGATGTTTAGTGAGCTGAGAAGCAAGCAGACAGCGAAGGGGGCTCCAAAGTCTCTTGGGATAGCCATTTTCAATTATAATTTTACAGAAAGGGGTTTTGGGGTTTTGGGGTTTTGGGGTTTTGGGGTTTTGGGG